CTGACTGAGGGTGCACTTGATCCCCAATAATGAGCCTTGTGGAATGCCACTTGTGACCGGCTGCCAGCTGGATGTAAGGCTCTTTCCCACAAAGGTTCCCCCCAGCCCCCAGTTCAGGCTGTGCATACTCCTGTCCCTGCTCCTTGTTCCCACTGCTTGGAAGAGCTCAGAGCTGTACTCATGCCCTGGAGCGCTCTACCTGGTTGAGGGACTGAAGTTGGAGTTACGTAGCATTTAATTTGTGGGATTTTGTCTGCCTCATCAAAGAAAAGGAAACCTGGCCTCCTTCTGCCATCCCTCGTGCACGTGAGTTGCAAATTCAGGGAGAGGCGTGGATGAAGATGAATCCCAGGAGTGAAACAGTCTGAGAGACTCTTAAACAAATGGGAACTGAGCAGCTTTGCTCTTCCCCTGAGGATTTGGCTGTTAAATAAACTCACTGATGAGTCTGGCTGCACGTGTGTGTTGGTGCAGAAGCGTGTTAGTCGTGGGCTGGGTGTTGCTGGGTGTAAGCCATCAGGGCGGTGTGCGTTGGGTGGTGCATTCCTTGATATAGCAAGGCATGAGCGGTCTTGGCTCCCCCTGTCCACCTTCCAGAGTCTGCATGGGTGGCTGTGGTCAGAGGCAAGCTAACGTGACCTTTCCCTCTTCTCCTTTCCGTTTCCAGGGTTCCACCTCAGCGGGACGGTAACGGAGCCAGCGACTGCGACAGAACCAGAGATGACCTACAAGGTGGCCATCAGCTTCGACCGCTGCAAAATCACCTCAGTGACATGCGGCTGCGGGAACAAGGACATTTTTTACTGTGCCCACGTCGTGGCGCTTTCACTGTACAGGATCCGCAAGCCGGACCAGGTCAAACTCCGTCTTCCCATCTCAGAGACCCTTTTCCAGATGAACAGGGACCAGCTCCAGAAGTTTGTTCAGTATTTGATCACGGCACACCACACCGAGGTGCTGCCCACTGCCCAGAAGTTGGCTGATGAGATCCTGTCATCCAACTCAGAGATCAACCAAGTGCATGGTAATTCCTTCCTCCTCCCTGGGTGGCTCGGCACGGATTCCTTCTCTGTTTGGGGATGGGCTGGTGGCTTCGCACTGACGGCGGTGACCTTTGTTTGGCTGTGTTTGTTGCTGCACAGAGAGAGGTGGTAGTGTCAAACTGATGTTAGTGCATAGGTGTTGGGATCATACCGATGTTGGCCACGCATCCTCGTTCTGCCCTCTGTTCTTCTTTATGTGTTTATCTGTCAAACGCTGGCTTCACCAGGCAGGAAAAGGCAGAGCAGACAGGGTGGTGGTGCACAAGGCACAGCTCGGAGTAGGATGGAAAAGCCAAGGGTGGAGGAAGGGAGCACGTTTAGTCCCCACGCAGAAGGACGTGGTGCTGGGACCCTGAGGAGCAGTGGGGATATGGGTCCTCCAGTGTGCCGGGACACGGTGTCAATCCAGCCCTGCAAGTCAGATGGGGCTGAGCTGGTGGGAGATAAAGCTTTAATCTCCATGGGCATTAATTTGCACATAATAAATGAGCACTGGTATCCTGACCTACTGCACAAAGGCAGCGGAGATGTGTCCCGGGGTTTCGTGTTGGGAAGATGCTTTTGGCTTGCTCTCCTAGAAAGCCCTGGCACCCATCCCAGACATGCTGCAATTGCCCACTGGCCCAGGAGGTGGCCCAGGCTCCCTGGGGCGTTGCCCTGAGGCTGCCTTCATCAGACCAAGCCGGGTGCTTCCGCTGTGTCTTTCCAGGGAGCCCAGGAGCTGAGGTTGCCCAGGGTCTGCAACAATGAGCCGCTCCCCGCCATGCCTGTCCCTCCAGCTGTAGAGCGGAGATAATAAACACTTATCTGCCACGCAAGGGCGTTGTGGGGATTAACACATGCCTGTTAAGTGCTCCAAAGATGAAAAGCCCCATATGCAGCCTAAAATAGGATCTGAACTGGTTGAATCCACACGTAGAGGTGAGGCCAGGGGTCCACCTCTGCTGCAGAGGTGATGGCAGCTATGATCTTAGATACTTTCCCCTCCCCTCCCTCTGTCTGGTTGTTCCTGCTCCTACCTTGGGAGATGCTTTTGTCTCCTCCGCTGGGCCACATATGCTGCCTGTGTGGTTATGCTCTAAATTACTGGCTTTGGGGGGCGTTTCCTCCTTTTTTGGCATTAAAAAAGAATGAGGAACTGTGGTACTGCAAGAATCTGGTGAGGTCTGCTCTCTCTGAGCTGATCCACTGAAGCTGAGGTTGGGCAAGATCCCTTCTTGGCCATTGTTTGAGGCTGCTTTCTCCTAAGCAGATTGAAGAAAAGCTTTTAAGGCCCTGAATATTTATTGCGCTAGGGTCAGCAAAAGGCTGGTGATTGAGAGTCTTACGAAGATACAGATGTTGGCTCCGGTTCAATAGCTGCCTTTTGTTTTTACAAGGGGTTTTTAAAAAAAAAAGCAAAAATTCGCTGTCCCTTCAGACTTGTGCAAATTCACACACTCCAGCATGTGATTTTGAACGGACGGGGATGTGTTGACTTACTCAGCAGAAAGTGGCACCTATCTGACACCTCTGTGGCTTCATAGCCAGGGTCACAAGCAAATGAACTCTGCTGCAAGCCGAACACCCTTATCTCATCCTGGGAGAGGATGCAGATCAGCCTTAGGATGTTGAGGTGATCTTAAGGTGATCCAAAACTCATAGATGTCTCACCCTGTCAAAGGAAGGCTCAAAAAAAATCAACATTCAAGATCAGGGCTTTGGCTCTTGATCCTGGACAGTGCTGCAAGCCTGTCCTGCCAAGGAAGAGCACAACTGCAGTGCAGCTACATTGCAGAGCTTCTTGAGCCAGGAGCCCGGGGCGAGGAAGGGCTGCAGGTGTGTGGGACTCTGTATGTGACAGCAATCCGGTAGATCCTTGGGAGCTCCAGTTGAAGGGGATCCAAAGTTTTCCCCCATCTTGCCCTTCCCAGCTGCTATTCATGCATTCACAGAGGGTCCCTGATCCTGGGATTTGAAATTCCTCAAGGTATGCTTTACACAGAGATTTACCTGTGCCTATCTTGGCCGTGTCTAGTTCAGATGCTGGGGTTGCACCCTGCGGCTAAGGCCAGGCTGGCTTTTGGCAGGCCAGTCTCTACAGCCTAAATGACAACCCATTGTGTGCACTGCATGCCCGGTTATTGCACCTTGAAGCAAGAACAACCTCTCCAGAAATCCTTTTTTTTTCCCCCCCATTTTTTCCAAGGAGAGGTCTGTTGAGGTTCAGAGCAGCACTGGGTCTGCACTACCTGCCTCTGCTCACCCAAAGGGCTGCTCCTGCTGTGTCAGTGGTGAGCATGGGGGATGGAGGAACTGATCCTGCACCTCCGGAGCACTCTGGGCTGGCTGGGAAACGCCCCTTGTGCAAGGGGATTGTCCAGCTTTGTAAAATAAGGCTTTCAGGGCTGCTCCTTCTCCCCCTGCAGAGCTTGAACAGGCAAAGAGAATTACAGGCCATTGTCTGGCGTGCACGTCTGGGGCGATAGAGCTTTGTTCCTTGCAGGAGTCTGTAGCCGCAGGCTGCGTACCACATGCCGATCTTCCCGGCTGCCTTCCTAGAAGGAAATGCAAACTATCCAGTAATGATGGAGTCTCGGAGCGCAGCCAAGGCGCTTCTGTGTTCCCGAAGGATTCAATCCGAGCAAAGAGCCTAGGTGTGCCTGGCACTCTGCTCCCCACTTGACCTCTGCCTGCTCGAGTGGGTCACGTTTCTGCTCCCGTAGCTGGCCGCAAAGGGCAGCGGGCTCATGGCGAGAGTGTCTCGCGTGTCTGACACCTCCGCGCTGGGCGTCCGAAGGGGCAGCTGGAGGGAGGAGCCTGGGGTGGGTTTTAGTGCTGCTGCGTCCTGCTTGGGGAGGGACGGAGTCAGTGGCGTGACTGTCCGGCACGGAGCAAAGCTGCAAGGTTGTGGTTGTGCCAGCAAATGTGACTCGTGGCTGCTTGGCCTTTCCTGGTGGAGTGGCTGCTGGGATAAGCCGGGACCTGCAGCTGGAGAGCTCAGATCCAACAGCCAGGCCTCTGACAGAGTATCTGGTGGTGGCCACCTTGGCACCCTGCTCCCTCCACTCTTCCCAGAGCGTCAGCCCAGGGCTCGGGTTGGTTTGCCGTGGGGCCAGCCTGGCTCAGGAGGAAATGCAAGCTCAGAAAGTGGCTCGGGGCCACCAGCCATGGTAGGACATGATGGGGGTAGGTGCAGCTTTGCCACTGGGGGGATCTATGCCCTACCACCGCAAAACATGGAAGAATATGTCCTGTGGAGGTGCGAATGAGGAACAGAGAGCAATTGCTTTGGTGCTGTATGGTATTGCAGAGAGGGCAAGGCTGTGAAAAAGAGTTGAAATGGGAATTGTAGGCAGAGAGATTTGGGGGGCAAAAGCAAGCAATGATGAGGAGGGGTGACTCAGAAGCACAGCACTGGGTTTCTTTTGCAGTGTGGATCAGCAGCGAGTGCTCAGGGTCCAAGCCAGCTAGTGGATTTGGGAAGCAGCATTCATCTC